GGTGTAGACATCTAGTATTAAGTGTCATGTGTGACCGTCAGGTGTAGACATCTAGTATTAAGTGTCATGTGTGACCGTTGGGTGTAGAAGTCTAGTACTAAGTGTCATGTGTGACCGTTGGGTGTAGAAATCTAGTACTAAGTGTCATGTGTGACCGTCAGGTGTAGAGATCTAGTATTAAGTGTCATGTGTGACCGTCGGGTGTAGAGATCTAGTACTAAGTGTCATGTGTGACCGTCGGGGGTAGACATCTAGTACTAAGTGTCATGTGTGACCGTCGGGTGGAGACATCTAGTACTAAGTGTCATGTGTGACCGTCGGGTGTAGACCTTTAGTATTAAGTGTCATGTGTGACCGTCAGGTGTAGACATCTAGTATTAAGTGTCAAGTGTGACCGTCGGGGGGAGAAATCTAGTACTAAGTGTCATGTGTGACCGTCGGGGGTAGAAATCTAGTATTAAGTGTCATGTGTGACCGTCGGGTGTAGAAATCTAGTAACAAGTGTTATGTGGATTTCTTGGCTACACTTTACAGTGTTGTTCCAAGTCTAAATAACATGTACTGGTATTTTCAGCATGATGATAAGTTTGATGTATGCAGGTTTTCTTTATTTTAGAATTTGTAGGGGAAAGAAAAGGATTGATTTCATGTGTATCATCCTCGATATCTAGGGGTTACGCTCACTTTCGCTCTCTGTACCCCTGGAATATGTCATAGCCAAATTGGAGGCACGAAGATAGATGTTTGATTGGTCTCGGGTAAAAAACCTGACCAATCGCTAGGCTGATACCTGTTCTTTGAAGATTACAAAGGAGAGACGCCCGACTTCAAAGCCTGTCAATTTTTACCGTTACATGACCACAAGATTCTTTTGATGTAAATCAAAAGATCGAACAAGTCTTCTTGTCTCATCCACAAGGTGGGGCACGCTGAGCCTTCAATTTTGCTATGACATATCCCAGGGGTGTAGAGAGCGAAAGTGAGTGTAACCCCTGGATGTCGAGGATGCATGTGTATCTTCTATAATATTTGTGCAGGAAGTGATGGTGGCAGGTGGGATGGAGAGCATGTCCAATGTTCCCTACTACATGACTCGGGGGCAGACACCCTACGGCAAGGTCGAGCTTAGGGTAAGCAAACACAATTTAATGCCTACTTTTTGTCAAGTTCACTTTTGATAAAGTAATCTAATAGCATTAAGGATCAACATATCTTATGCAGTTGAATTTGCACATAAAAAATCTCCAGACGTGACTAAAGTTTCAACATTATTAGCTTGTTATAAATCTAATCCAAAGGACCGCTGTCACAGCTTTGTTGTCTCTCGTTTTGTCAACCTTTTCATTTTAACCCTTACTCCTACTGAACAACAGATGGGATTTCAACCAAATTTGCCATGCTGCATCCTTGGGACCAGAAAACAAAATTTTGTGTAAAGAAAGGGTATGGCCCCTATAGGGGCTGAAAGGCAGGGCCAAATAGGGGAAGTTGGTGGACTTCATCCTTCAAAAGATTACTTCTAACTCCATACACAAAGAGGAATATATCCATGCTAATAGGATTGGTGCTGGAGTCAGGCCCTACCCTATAGGACTCCATCCCTGAGATATAACATGGGAGTGATAGAGATCGTGCTGGAGTCAGGCCCTACCCTATAGGACTCCGTCCCTGAGATATAACATGGGAGTGATAGAGATCGTGCTGGAGTCAGGCCCTACCCTATAGGACTCCGTCCCTGAGATATAACATGGGAGTGATAGAGATCGTGCTGGAGTCAGGCCCTACCCTATAGGACTCCGTCCCTGAGATATAACATGGGAGTGATAGAGATCGTGCTGGAGTCAGGCCCTACCCTATAGGACTCCGTCCCTGAGATATAACATGGGAGTGATAGAGATCGTGCTGGAGTCAGGCCCTACCCTATAGGACTCCGTCCCTGAGATATAACATGGGAGTGATAGAGATCGTGCTGGAGTCAGGCCCTACCCTATAGGACTCCGTCCCTGAGATATAACATGGGAGTGATAGAGATCGTGCTGGAGTCAGGCCCTACCCTATAGGACTCCGTCCCTGAGATATAACATGGGAGTGATAGAGATCGTGCTGGAGTCAGGCCCTACCCTATAGGACTCCGTCCCTGAGATATAACATGGGAGTGATAGAGATCGTGCTGGAGTCAGGCCCTACCCTATAGGACTCCGTCCCTGAGATATAACATGGGAGTGATAGAGATCGTGCTGGAGTCAGGCCCTACCCTATAGGACTCCGTCCCTGAGATATAACATGGGAGTGATAGAGATCGTGCTGGAGTCAGGCCCTACCCTATAGGACTCCGTCCCTGAGATATAACATGGGAGTGATAGAGATCGTGCTGGAGTCAGGCCCTACCCTATAGGACTCCGTCCCTGAGATATAACATGGGAGTGATAGAGATCGTGCTGGAGTCAGGCCCTACCCTATAGGACTCCGTCCCTGAGATATAACATGGGAGTGATAGAGATCGTGCTGGAGTCAGGCCCTACCCTATAGGACTCCGTCCCTGAGATATAACATGGGAGTGATAGAGATCGTGCTGGAGTCAGGCCCTACCCTATAGGACTCCGTCCCTGAGATATAACATGGGAGTGATAGAGATCGTGCTGGAGTCAGGCCCTACCCTATAGGACTCCGTCCCTGAGATATAACATGGGAGTGATAGAGATCGTGCTGGAGTCAGGCCCTACCCTATAGGACTCCGTCCCTGAGATATAACATGGGAGTGATAGAGATCGTGCTGGAGTCAGGCCCTACCCTATAGGACTCCGTCCCTGAGATATAACATGGGAGTGATAGAGATCGTGCTGGAGTCAGGCCCTACCCTATAGGACTCCGTCCCTGAGATATAACATGGGAGTGATAGAGATCGTGCTGGAGTCAGGCCCTACCCTATAGGACTCCGTCCCTGAGATATAACATGGGAGTGATAGAGATCGTGCTGGAGTCAGGCCCTACCCTATAGGACTCCGTCCCTGAGATATAACATGGGAGTGATAGAGATCGTGCTGGAGTCAGGCCCTACCCTATAGGACTCCGTCCCTGAGATATAACATGGGAGTGATAGAGATCGTGCTGGAGTCAGGCCCTACCCTATAGGACTCCGTCCCTGAGATATAACATGGGAGTGATAGAGATCGTGCTGGAGTCAGGCCCTACCCTATAGGACTCCGTCCCTGAGATATAACATGGGAGTGATAGAGATCGTGCTGGAGTCAGGCCCTACCCTATAGGACTCCGTCCCTGAGATATAACATGGGAGTGATAGAGATCGTGCTGGAGTCAGGCCCTACCCTATAGGACTCCGTCCCTGAGATATAACATGGGAGTGATAGAGATCGTGCTGGAGTCAGGCCCTACCCTATAGGACTCCGTCCCTGAGATATAACATGGGAGTGATAGAGATCGTGCTGGAGTCAGGCCCTACCCTATAGGACTCCGTCCCTGAGATATAACATGGGAGTGATAGAGATCGTGCTGGAGTCAGGCCCTACCCTATAGGACTCCGTCCCTGAGATATAACATGGGAGTGATAGAGATCGTGCTGGAGTCAGGCCCTACCCTATAGGACTCCGTCCCTGAGATATAACATGGGAGTGATAGAGATCGTGCTGGAGTCAGGCCCTACCCTATAGGACTCCGTCCCTGAGATATAACATGGGAGTGATAGAGATCGTGCTGGAGTCAGGCCCTACCCTATAGGACTCCGTCCCTGAGATATAACATGGGAGTGATAGAGATCGTGCTGGAGTCAGGCCCTACCCTATAGGACTCCGTCCCTGAGATATAACATGGGAGTGATAGAGATCGTGCTGGAGTCAGGCCCTACCCTATAGGACTCCGTCCCTGAGATATAACATGGGAGTGATAGAGATCGTGCTGGAGTCAGGCCCTACCCTATAGGACTCCGTCCCTGAGATATAACATGGGAGTGATAGAGATCGTGCTGGAGTCAGGCCCTACCCTATAGGACTCCGTCCCTGAGATATAACATGGGAGTGATAGAGATCGTGCTGGAGTCAGGCCCTACCCTATAGGACTCCGTCCCTGAGATATAACATGGGAGTGATAGAGATCGTGCTGGAGTCAGGCCCTACCCTATAGGACTCCGTCCCTGAGATATAACATGGGAGTGATAGAGATCGTGCTGGAGTCAGGCCCTACCCTATAGGACTCCGTCCCTGAGATATAACATGGGAGTGATAGAGATCGTGCTGGAGTCAGGCCCTACCCTATAGGACTCCGTCCCTGAGATATAACATGGGAGTGATAGAGATCGTGCTGGAGTCAGGCCCTACCCTATAGGACTCCGTCCCTGAGATATAACATGGGAGTGATAGAGATCGTGCTGGAGTCAGGCCCTACCCTATAGGACTCCGTCCCTGAGATATAACATGGGAGTGATAGAGATCGTGCTGGAGTCAGGCCCTACCCTATAGGACTCCGTCCCTGAGATATAACATGGGAGTGATAGAGATCGTGCTGGAGTCAGGCCCTACCCTATAGGACTCCGTCCCTGAGATATAACATGGGAGTGATAGAGATCGTGCTGGAGTCAGGCCCTACCCTATAGGACTCCGTCCCTGAGATATAACATGGGAGTGATAGAGATCGTGCTGGAGTCAGGCCCTACCCTATAGGACTCCGTCCCTGAGATATAACATGGGAATGATAGAGATCGCCACCTTTTACAATGACTGGGCATGAAGAGATGAACATAATCATGCTTAAAGGATTGGCCTTGTGGTCAGGCCATACTGCTTAGTACTTGTTGAACATGGAAAAAGTAGAATTTGTTTCTAATTGACAGATACTTTACTGTTGTAGGATGGTATCGTGTCAGACGGCCTTACAGACGCTTATGACCACATCCACATGGTGAGTTGTTAGGTTACTGATGTCCAGCCTTCAGTGGACTGTGTTGGTAGATTGGGTAATGCAATGTGTAGTATTGTATTGTAATAGGGAATATTGTAGATATAATGGTATTTATTGTTTACCATTGTTTTTCTGCCCCTGGCCAAGGTTCTTGGTCCATTACATCACAATATAATAAAGAGCTTACCTGAGAGAACTATAGGTATCTAGACTATTAGTAAAACTGTCCTGATGAAGCTTCAACTTCAAAGGCAAAACTAATAGGCCAAATAATCATCCACCCACTTACTTGTTGAAACTTTGTTGTGATTATATGAAGCCTCATTTTGTATGTAGTGTATTTGTGTAACTTCACATTATATTACATTTAAGGGTGTATGTGATTTGTTCACTGTATAAATACTGTATTGAAGGGTGTATGTGATTTGTTCACTGTATAAATACTGTATTGAAGGGTGTATGTGATTTGTTCACTGTATAAATACTGTATTTAAGGGTGTATGTGATTTGTTCACTGTATAAATACTGTATTGAAGGGTGTATGTGATTTGTTCACTGTATAAATACTGTATTGAAGGGTGTATGTGATTTGTTCACTGTATAAATACTGTATTTAAGGGTGTATGTGATTTGTTCACTGTATAAATACTGTATTGAAGGGTGTATGTGATTTGTTCACTGTATAAATACTGTATTGAAGGGTGTATGTGATTTGTTCACTGTATAAATACTGTATTTAAGGGTGTATGTGATTTGTTCACTGTATAAATACTGTATTGAAGGGTGTATGTGATTTGTTCACTGTATAAATACTGTATTGAAGGGTGTATGTGATTTGTTCACTGTATAAATACTGTATTGAAGGGTGTATGTGATTTGTTCACTGTATAAATACTGTATTGAAGGGTGTATGTGATTTGTTCACTGTATAAATACTGTATTGAAGGGTGTATGTGATTTGTTCACTGTATAAATACTGTATTTAAGGGTGTATGTGCTGAGAACACTGCCAAGAAGTATGGGATCAGTCGGGAGGAACAGGACGAGTACGCCATTAGGAGCTACAAACTCAGCCAGAAGGCTGCCTCCGAGGGCGTGTTTGAAAAGGAAATGACACCAGTAGAAATTCCTAAGAAGAAAGGTATCTTAACATCGGAAGTCAGACAAATAAATACAGGGAGCTAAACTGCCCCAAGTCCTTCACAGAGTTCAAGAATCTTGAACCAAATGATTTTTTTCGATACACTTTTATTTGCAATCTGAACTTATACTGTAGTTTCTTTTCAAACTTTGTCATTTATCAGTAATTGTATACAATGGAAGAAAAACTTACATGCTGCTACCACTAATGACAAGAGAAAGGTTGATGTGTGTGTTTTGTCCCTTGTTACATTTCTTATATTACAATCCATACAGCATTTATCCATGGACCGAAATCAATCACTGCCCTGAACACTTTGTAGCAAGGAGATTTTAATTATGGAAATTTGTTTTGGCACAAGAATCATCAATAGCATCTCTTTGACTTGGACGAATTCTGTAAATATCTTGAGTTGAAGTACGATCATACAGCGTCTTATATATTTTATGTTTACCACAATGAATTTCAAACTATATTGATGTGGATATAGAGGCAGCAATGCCTGCATCCACTAATCTTCTATTGATGTGGATATAGAGGTAGCAATGCCTGCATCCACTAATATTCTATTGATGTGGATATAGAGGCAGCAATGTCGCATCCACTAATCTTCTATTGATGTGGATAAAGAGGCAGCAATGCCTGCGTCCACTAATCTTCTATTGAGGTGGATATAGAGGCAGCAATGCCTGCGTCCACTAATCTTCTATTGATGTGGATATAGAGGCAGCAATGTCTGCATCCACTAATATTCTATTGATGTGGATATAGAGGCAGCAATGCCTGCATCCACTAATATTCTATTGATGTGGATATAGAGACATCAATGCCTGCATCCACTAATATTCTATTGATGTGGATATATAGGCATCAATGCCTGCATCCACTAATATTCTATTGATGTGGATATAGAGGCAGCAATGTCGCATCCACTAATCTTCTATTGATGTGGATATAGAGGCAGCAATGCCTGCATCCACTAATATTCTATTGATGTGGATATAGAGGCAGCAACGTCACATCCACTAATCTTCTATTGATGTGGATATAGAGGCAGCAATGCCTGCATCCACTAATATTCTATTGATGTGGATATAGAGGCAGCAATGCCTGCATCCACTAATATTCTATTGATGTGGATATAGAGGCAGCAATGCCTGCATCCACTAATATTCTATTGATGTGGATATAGAGGCAGCAATGCCTGCATCCACTAATATTCTATTGATGTGGATATAGAGGCAGCAATGCCTGCATCCACTAATATTCTATTGATGTGGATATAGAGGCAGCAATGCCTGCATCCACTAATATTCTATTGATGTGGATATAGAGGCAGCAATGCCTGCATCCACTAATATTCTATTGATGTGGATATAGAGGCAGCAATGCCTGCATCCACTAATATTCTATTGATGTGGATATAGAGGCAGCAATGCCTGCATCCACTAATATTCTATTGATGTGGATATAGAGGCATCAATGCCTGCATCCACTAATATTCTATTGATGTGGATATAGAGGCAGCAATGCCTGCATCCACTAATATTCTATTGATGTGGATATAGAGGCAGCAATGCCTGCATCCACTAATATTCTATTGATGTGGATATAGAGGCATCAATGCCTGCATCCACTAATATTCTATTGATGTGGATATAGAGGCAGCAATGCCTGCATCCACTAATATTCTATTGATGTGGATATAGAGGCAGCAATGCCTGCATCCACTAATATTCTATTGATGTGGATATAGAGGCATCAATGCCTGCATCCACTAATATTCTATTGATGTGGATATAGAGGCAGCAATGCCTGCATCCACTAATATTCTATTGATGTGGATATAGAGGCAGCAATGCCTGCATCCACTAATATTCTATTGATGTGGATATAGAGGCATCAATGCCTGCATCCACTAATATTCTATTGATGTGGATATAGAGGCAGCAATGCCTGCATCCACTAATATTCTATTGATGTGGATATAGAGGCAGCAATGCCTGCATCCACTAATATTCTATTGATGTGGATATAGAGGCAGCAATGCCTGCATCCACTAATATTCTATTGATGTGGATATAGAGGCAGCAATGCCTGCATCCACTAATATTCTATTGATGTGGATATACAGGCATCAATGCCTGCATCCACTAATATTCTATTGATGTGGATATAGAGGCATCAATGCCTGCGTCCACTAATCTTCTATTGATGTGGATATAGAGGCAGCAATGCCTGCATCCACTAATATTCTATTTAAAAAAAAAGGTTCTCTTGTGATTATGATACCGTAACCTCTGTTGATAGCTTGAACTAATTCCTGATTTCTGCAGCACTGATCTTCAACCATTCAGTAATACCTATCTGTGGACAGATGTTATGTAGATGTTGATTGGCTGATTTCATTATGACAGGTGATCCAGTTGTTGTCAGTACTGATGAGGAGTACAAGAAGGTCAAATTTGATAAATTTGCATCACTACGGACAGTATTTCAGAAAGATGGTCAGTATTTATCTAAATGTATCGTGGTTTACCAATGAATGAAATGGTTATCAGGTTTATCTAGCTTGAGTAATTTCAACATTTTAAAAAGTTTAAAGGTTTAACTGAGAGAGAAATGAAAATTTTAGTTGTAAAATACATGTACAAAATTGTTTTAAATAACTGAGTCTCGAAAACTAAAAGTTAATCTGTAAAAACTTGACAGGGACCATCACAGCGGCCAATGCCAGTACTCTCAATGATGGAGCAGCTGCCCTGGTGTTAATGACAGCACAGGCTGCGGAACGACACGGGGTCAAACCTCTGGCCAGGATCGTGGGTAGGAACTAATACATCCCATTGCTGTACTCTCATGTGGAGCAATGCTTCACAATTGGCATCACACCTATATAACCGTTATATGTTATGTTCTAAGGTAGCTACTCCCCACAATTACGTACCCAGTATTTGAATTTTCCAAATACGACTTAATGCTAGCATGTTTTACATTTATTCACTCACAATTAGACAAATACATATGTAGTTAACAGTTGAAACATTTATAGAATTTTAAAAAATTGATACATTTATACCATTTTAAAGTAAGTGGTACTAATGTTCCCTAACAGCCGAATCTGCCTCAGCTACCACCTGTCTATCCTTACTGGTGTAGTATATTCCTAAGTTATTTTATCCTTATATAGACCTGCTGTCTAAAGAAACCATTAGTCTATTATAGACACTTTTGCCTCCCTTGGACTGTTGTTGTAGACACTTGACTGTATTCTGTGCCAGGTTTTGCTGATGCGGCTATCGCCCCGATTGACTTTTCCACGGCACCTGCCCATGCTATCCCCAAAGTTCTGGCCAACACCGGGGTCAAAAAGGAGGACATTGACATGTGGGAGATCAATGAGGCCTTCAGTGTGGTCATTCTGGCCAACGTCAAAGAGCTGGACATTGATATGAACAAGATGAACATCCATGGTGGAGCTGTCAGCATCGGTCATCCCATAGGGTAAGTGGTCAGCATCGGTCATCTCATAGGGTAAGTGGTCAGCATCGGTCATCACATAGGGTAAGTGGTCAACATCGGCCATCCCATAGGGTAAGTGGTCAGCATCGGCCATCCCATAGGGTAAGTGGTCAGCATCGGTAATCACATAGGGTAAGTGGTCAGCATCGGTCATCTCATAGGGTAAGTGGTCAGCATTGGTCATCACATAGGTTAAGTGGTCAACATCGGCCATCCCATAGGGTAAGTGGTCAGCATCGGCCATCCCATAGGGTAAGTGGTCAGCATCGGTCATCACATAGGGTAAGTGGTCAGCAAGGAACCGGTTTTCCACTAGTGTACAATTGTCCCTGTTTATCAACTAGTGTTTTGTAATTACAATGGGTGCACATAATTCTTTTGGAAAAACCTTTTTACGTGAGTTTTGTCAGTGTTTCTTCGCATTGCTAGACTTTGGGTGACATTATGATGTAAAATGTTCTTTATTGATTAAATCAAAAAAGATCACTGTGTATCTGTTAAAATATATTAAACTCAAAGCCTAGAATCACGTAAACATTTACCGGGTAACTGTCATAGATAAAAGGTTACACAAGATCTTACATTTACCAGGTAACTGTCATAGATAAAAGGTTACACAAGATCTTACATTTACCGGGTAACTGTCATAGATGAAAGGTTACACAAGATCTTACATTTACTGGGTAACTGTCATAGATAAAAGGTTACACAAGATCTTACATTTACCAGGTAACTGTCATAGATAAAAGGTTACACAAGATCATACATTTACCGGGTAACTGTCATAGATAAAAGGTTACACAAGATCTTACATTTACATTTACCTTGAATATACATTTTTTTAATGTAATTTCTTTCAAACAAATTACCAGAAAAGTAAGAACCTATTTTTTAAACATTTTCAGAATGTCTGGAGCTCGTATCACTGGTCATTTGGTCCACAATCTTCAGCCGGGACAGAAGGGAATGGCAGCCATTTGTAACGGTGGGGGTGGCGCATCAGCCATCTTGATTGAGAAATTATAATCATGGACAAAATTAAAACCAAAAAATTGTGATACAGATTGACTATGAGTTCCAGTAACAAAGTGCTTTGACTTGTACAGAAATCATTACAGAAGTGTGAGAGTGACAGTCTAAGGTTGATCAACTTTAATATAGGTCTCATAAGACCATGTATCTAGTACACATTTTGTAAATTATATATGCACATTTCATCAGAAGACAGAGGAATGTATTTCATCTATATAATAGTTTCATTTGCTGATCTCTCTGGGTTTCTTACATTACATCTTCTCTACATCCCACAAGATTTAGTTCTCAATTTTTGAGAATATTTAACAGTTTTTCCTTGATTTTGACGTCATTTTGTTACATCCACTGCATTTTGTTATAAGTTTTGTTTTACAGGATGACTTGGGATATGTAATAATACCATGATGAAAGAATTACAAAAATCTGCTGAATACTTTAGTAAGTGGGATAAAAAAAGCGTGAAATTAATCATTTGCAGTGCATAAAGAAATATCAAAATAAGAAACATTAGCCTTGTATCAATGGATCTGTAATGTGACACACAGCTAAATTGTTTTGATATGATATTAAATGTTGATGTGATATACAATGAATCTCTTGTTCATGATCAATGACTACATATCAATAAAAGGGGGAAAAACACTTTGCTTGGGTTGCTTCCCTTTATACGTTGAGAACTAGACATTATATTAGGGGCCTGTTCGTTTATGGTGAACAACTGGTTTGACCGTTTCTTAATGTAACAACTTCGGGTATAAATCCTGGCGGATGTTTATGCAGGCCCTGCAAGGCTTTGTCATGTCAAGGCTTGCCTGAAAGCAGCATCAGATTACTAGGTCTGACCTTATTTAATAAACGAACAACCATGGTCCGACCGGTTTTGCTGTTTAAACGAAAACAGCCTACGATTTGAAGTTACTGCCTCTTTAATGGGAAATACATGGTGGTAAACATAAAATTTAGGCTGTTTATATAAAAAAAAACTGTACTGGCATATTTCAACTCGAGATGTTTGCAGAATTGTTCAAGGCTTTCTGAAAATAAAATACGTTACGAGATGAAATAACATCTTGAGGGAGACTATTACAAACATCATTTATTCTTTCAGCAAAGTAACGTTTTCTAAGATTTAAATGTCTTTCAGAGCTCAGCAAGATCAAATAGTCCCTCCACCAAACTTGGATCGTATAACCTATTCACAAACTACAATATGTGAATCTTGTCTCTAAGCAAGCTGTGAATTATTTTACTGATATTTAAACCATGAATTAAAAGCACTTTCAAACGAAGAAATTTTCGAAATAGTTGTACGGTAATGTCCATCTTATATAATCAGTACTTTAGTATGTACCCAACCGGAACACCGGAAGTAATTCTTTACTAATAAAGTGAGTAATGTAATAACCAGCATGGTTTCCGGAGTTGTGTGTTCGCCATCTATGAATCTGCTATGTAATATATCAGCTATCATCAGAGTCGTTACCACAATAGTACAGACAATATATATAAGGTACAATAATGTTACGATGTTAATATTCGAATTCTGAACGAGCGTAGACAACACGGCAGAATCTTGATTATAGGTTAATTTATTCTAGCCTTGCTCTAAGTTTGATTTGGAAGCTGTAAAGGATGGTGTCTCTCGTGAAGCTAATATTTTTAAATTGAAGAAGTAGCTTTGAACATTTCTTTTGGACATTTTCTATCCTTTCGATGTCTTTATAATCTTGTGTGGACCCCAAACACTTGCAGCATACTTAAATGAGGTCAGACCAGCACTTTTAACACCTACAATGCTGCTGGCTTTATTAATTGCTTGTTGGATAGGTGTTGAAAAGCGCAATTCTAGGTCTACTACAACACACATATCTTTCTTAGATGATATCACGGTTTTCTCTTCTTGTGTTCGGTTGATATGGGTATAACTTTACATTTTTTAGGATGTAAACTCAACAGCCATTTATTTGATCAATTCATCAAACTGCAGAGATTGTGCTTTCATCAGTATAGCCACACATTGTTTGATATAATTAAGTGTCGTCAGCAAACTTCAAGGTTGGGGAATATGTGCCCTCTGGTTGACCTTTTGCAAACATGATCATCGTGTAGGAGGATTTCCAAGTATCATGTGTTCCACCATTGTATTCCACACTTGTCCCTTGTAGACAACTTGGTGATTAAGTTAATGTATAACCTTAGTGATTAGGTTAATCTATAACCTTGGTGATTAGGTTAATGTATAACCTTGGTGATTAGGTTAATGTATAACCTTGGTGATTAGGTTAATCTATAACCTTGGTGATTAGGTTAATCTATAGCCTTGGTGATTAGGTTAATGTATAACCTTGGTGATTAGGTTAATCTATAACCTTGGTGATTAGGTTAATCTATAACCTTGGTGATTAGGTTAATGTATAACCTTGGTGATTAGGTTAATCTATAACCTTGGTGATTAGGTTAATGTATAACCTTGGTGATTAGGTTAATGTATAACCTTGGTGATTAGGTTAATCTATAACCTTGGTGATTAGGTTAATGTATAACCTTGGTGATTAGGTTAATGTATAACCTTGGTGATTAGGTTAATCTATAACCTTGGTGATTAGGTTAATGTATAACCTTGGTGATTAGGTTAATGTATAACCTTGGTGATTAGGTTAATCTATAACCTTGGTGATTAGGTTAATGTATAACCTTGGTGATTAGGTTAATGTATAACCTTGGTGATTAGGTTAATCTATAACCTTGGTGATTAGGTTAATGTATAACCTTGGTGATTAGGTTAATGTATAACCTTGGTGATTAGGTTAATCTATAACCTTGGTGATTAGGTTAATGTATAACCTTGGTGATTAGGTTAATGTATAACCTTGGTGATTAGGTTAATGTATAACCTTGGTGATTGGGTTAATCTATAACCTTGGTGATTAGGTTAATCTATAGCCTTGGTGATTAGGTTAATCTATAGCCTTGGTGATTAGGTTAATGTATAACCTTGGTGATTAGGTTAATGTATAACCTTGGTGATTAGGTTAATCTTTCACAATCTCAAATTTAAACATGTCACAAATACTGTTCATTTTCAAATCCCTGTAAAAACTTTGGAGAATAAACACAAACAAAAAATAGTTTGCAAATAGAATTAAAAGCTGTAGATAGCCTGCAAAATGTTTTACGCCCACAAAAACTGGGATATTATGCTACCACGATGTCTGTCCGTCCATTTCTTTTCAAACTGCAATTAGTTCCGGTGTTCAACCCAAGCTTTGAGATTTTATGAGTATTACAGCCTTTTATGACTTACATTTTTAGCTCACCTGGTCAGGAGGACCATGGTGAACTGATGCCATACCGCAGCGTCCGTCGTCCTTCCGTCTGTCAACTTTTCCTTTAAAATGCTACTTGTCCTGAACGGCCAAGTAGATTTTGACTAAATTTGATCTGGACGATCCTTAGGCCAAGGGGACTCAATTTTGTTTAAATGGTGAGTGTGGCCCTTCTGGGGGCGGAGGGGCAGGGCCCAATATGGGAAATAGAGGTAAAACCTTTAAAATCCTTCTTCTACTGTAGGGATTAAGGGATTTTAGCCTAATTTAGTCTGGAGCATCCTTGGGCCAAGGGAACTCAATTTTGTATAAACGGTTTGTGTGACTTCCCTGGGGGCAGAGGGGCGGGTCCAATAGGGGAAATAGAGGTTTTAAAACCTTTAAAATCATTCTTCTACTGTAGGGATTAAGGGATTTTATCCTAATTTAGTCTGGAGCTTTAATATCCTTTTTTCTTTCGTTAGGATGAAGTTATTTTGACCAAAGTTGCATCCTATTTGAAAGGGAAATCAATTTTGTATAATTGGTGGGTTTGAACCCCCCAGGGCAGAGGGGCAGGACCAAATAGGGAAAATAGAAAAATAGCTTTAAAATCATTCTTCTGTAAGAATGACAGGATAATGTCCATATTTGGTCTAAAGCATCATTAGGTGAAGGCAAGCAGATTTTGTAACAATGGTGGATCTGACCCACCTGGGGGCAGAGGGGCAGGGCCCAATAGGGGAAACATAGTAAATTCTTCAAAATCCTCCTTTTCCTGTTGAAATGACATGATTTTTGTCCAATTGTATATAAATATAACCCCTGATTAACATTGTAATACTTGTTCACTACCAGCAACATCTAGCTATTCCAACTTCTATTTTGCTAACATTTCCAGGTGAGCGATACAGGCCCTCTGGGCCTCTTGTTTAAACCACAAGTTTTGTATGAAGCTCGTGACTGGAACTATTCCCCCCGAGTTTTGACAGAATCATTTGTGAGCCTTGTAATTGCAACTACCTTGTACAAGTAACCCCAGTTTTTACAGAATTCCAAGATTTGTGTGTGTGTGTGTGTGTGTGTGTGTGGGTGGGTGGGTGAGTGAGTGTGTGTGTGTATGTGTTGGTGCGGTGGGGGGGTGGGTGTGTGTGTGTGTGTGTGTGTGTTGGTGCGGTGTGTGTGTGTGTGTGTGTGGGTGTGGGGGGGGGGGGGGGTGTGTGTGTGTGTGTGTGTATGTGTTGGTGTGTGTGTGTGTATGTGTTGGTGCGGTGGGTGGGTGGGTGTGTGTGTGTGTATGTGTTGGTGCGGTGTGTGTGTGTGTGTGTGTTGGTGTGTGTGTGTGTAGGTGTGAGTGTGTGTGTGTGTGTGTGTGTGTTGGGGTGTGTGTGTGTGGTGTGTATGTGTGTGTGGTGTGTGGGTGTATGTAGGTGTGAGTGTGTGTGTATGTGTGTATGGTGTGTGTGTTGGTGTGTGTGGGTGTGTATGTAGGTGTGAGTGTGTGTGTTTGTGATGGGAACATTTCATTAGAATGGGGATGGTGCTTTAACGTTTATACGAGTTATGGCCCTTTATGATTTTATTTTTTTCCACAAGCACTATTATTGACCTTATCTTCGACAACATATCAGGAAATTAATTGGAGTTGTAATATTCTACACACAAACCAGTATGGATTTCTGGCTGGCTGGTTATCAAACAGCACTTCCTGTTACCTGCGTCTACAAAGCTTTACAAATATTGAGTCGAAACATGTAAACACAAAGCTAAAATAAGTTCATCTATAACCTAACGCCTGCTGTGTTGTCTACATCCTTTTGGAATTCAAATACCAACATCGTAACATTATTGTACACACAATCAGTCAACAGTGATGTTACATATCATTTAACAACATCGTGAGCATGTATGTGGGTAAAATATCTTCATATCGTGGTCATCACAACTATCAACTTGTAACAGATCTACTTGAAGTCTATTGATCTTGCTACCACACTATAATTTTATAGAGCATGGATTTGGGAGTCGCTTCTCGAATGGCCGTCTTTCATAACAACTGAGGCAGGTTTGCTCATTAATCATTCTTTAAATCTTCAAATACAGTAAAGTTACGATTTTTTATGATGGATTTAATCCCACGAAAGCATAACAAATTGCAAAGTTTAATAAACTGTGTTCTACTCTTTGATTTGTGATAGTAAAACCTTGAAAAAGCCAATTCAACTATTTTTTTTTACCTGTGAAAATTACCTACTACAGTCATTGATAGTAAAACAAATAAATCAAGAATGAAATTAAGTTTAAAATTATTTAATATGTACCAGATCATTATATGATTCGGTTGATACAATATATTTCATACAATTTAATGGACAGACTTTGTACAAAACTTTTAGGCTTGGAATTCATATTTATAAAACAGTTTGCATAAAAGTCAATGCAGCCAGTTAAAGCCCTTCTTCTGTCCTATGATACAAAAATGTCCCAGTCTCTCCAGGACCTGCACAATTATGTATAAAATGGAATATGTAACAATTATGTACAAATAAAACAAGTTTCAACAGCTGGAATAAATAAAATACTAGCATGATACATATACACAGTATTCATATGGAATATTAGAATACATGTATACTGTATACATATAAAACACTAGAATGATACATGTAATATACATATAAAACACTAGAATACATGTAATATACATATAAAACACTAGGATATTATATGCACACTGTATACAAATACTAGAATACATGTATACAGTATATGGTACAAAATGTACAATTAATTGAACACAACCAAACTGCAGAATAGCTATCATAAAAAAAAACAATAAACGGTAAAAATGGATTTCTAATGATATGCTTTCACAATGTAACAAAACCATATTACATCAAGATAAAAAAGACTCTGTAATATGATTTCAACATCCACCTGAAATTATTACATCACGGAAACAATTTCACAAATGGGACAAACAATTTTACTTCCAACAAGAACATTGAAATCCTGTATAAATTCAGTATTGTACTTAAAACGCCAAAACTAGGGCTTATTTTTGAAAATATCGGCCTAATTTTCTGTAACATTCTCAAGAAACCAGAAGTGGACTATAGTTTGTTTAATTTTCAACCAAAATAGGGTACAGTGTACATTAAAACAAACCATTGAACAAAATGCACACCTGATTTGAGTACACCTGTGTGTAATTATAGATCAACAGTCACACCACCTAGACCATATAATTGTCTTTAACATGCCAATGTAATCAGCTCTCAATCTCATATCACAGGTGTTGTTTAAATCAGAAATCTTTACCATTCGTGTTTTTTCCACTCTCCCGTGCAATAATTAATGTAACTTGTGGCATGATGTTGATCTTTTATGATTATGTGAAAAGATATATTATTATACATGTATTGATATGTTTTGCACAAACTTTGGAAGACGGTAATTTATTAACAGTAGATAAAAAAAAGGTAGCTGCCATTTATTAACTACAAATAACTATCATTGTTAAGTGACTGAATTCTAAAAGCAACGACATGAAGCCATCTTGTTGAAACACTACACTTGTTAGGAAGTTGATAGATGGATTTTAGATATTATTTATATCCGTTAGGAAATTGATAAGATGGATTTTAGATATTATTTATATCCGTTAGGAAGTTGATGGATGGATTTTATATTTATATCCATTAGGAAGTTGAAAGATGGATTTTATATTTATATCCGTAGGGACTGCATTCATCTGGGTTCTTCCTTTATCTGACATGTGTTCAAGTTTTGAAGAATAAAAAAAATCACCACCCCCTTCTGAAAATTATAAACCTGTAACTTCAAAAATCTGAAGTGTCCAGACTAACGCAGCTCCAGTAAATAGCACTATAGTTTGGTTACTAGGTAACTTAGATTACAGAACCTACATATTCCAGGAAATCCTACTCGACGTGTGTAGTGAATACATGTACCTTCTGTTTGGTCTTATGTTTTAGAAAAATGTTTTCAAAACTACAAGAAATTTCAACTGCACAGGGAAAAAAACCATATTCAAAACAAAATCTACATATCAAATACCCAAACTTCTTTTCACACGGCTTTATTATTCAAGTCCAGATGTTTTTAATTGTTTGATTTAGACCAAAGAACATCTTTTGAAATTCCAATAAAAACAAACAGATAACTTGAAAAACTAATATCTTTCCACCTGTACAAAAAGATTTTGCTTTCTCTCACAACCGAAAACTCTGTATTTCCTTTCTCTCTTAAGAGGCAGTTAAATTTGATTATTTTGACTTGTACTTGAACCATTGCTGAAAACAGATCAACAATTTATAATAAATGTCATTTTTGAGACAAGAAATCCAACAAATACTGAAGTATAGTACAGGTGTCTATTAGTTTTTGTCTGGGTATACCTGTCAATCAAATATGGTAATTATGCTGTGAACAGGTGTGAAGACTAACAGAGCCACTCAAGGTGTGCCGTTTAAATATCTGTAAAAATTATACCAGGTACAAGTAATACTAGATTATTATATAAATAATGATCAAAATTACTTAATTACCTAAGTAGGTTCTGTACATGAACAATTTTCACGTTTCCTTTTCCTCTGTCCTTCATTCACAGATATGCACGATATCACAATACAGATAGCTAGGTGATAACACAGTAACTCAATCTGAATATTCAATGAGATTCTCATTCTGGAAAGTTTTGCGTAACTTTTATAATACCCAACAGATAGTATCCTTGCACACATTGACCAATTACACATATCCTTGCTGCAAACATCATCATAGACCAATCACACATTGCCTTACAAATACTGACCAATCACACCACATTGCCTTACAAACAACTACCTATCATACCATCACTCACACATCACTGCCTTGTACATAGCTAGCTATTTGTTGGCGATTTCCGTAAGCAGAGTTGCCGCGGTAGTATGACTTATTGCTGTATTGTGGTTGGCTGCCGTAGTGAGGATGGGTTTGTGACGTCTGTCCCAACTGTTGATGAGAGGTGTACAGGTTCCTGTTGGGAGCCTGACCAGGGTAAGGTATTGGTGGTGATGGTCCACAGGATGGATCTTTAATTTTATCTGCAGCCTCAATTAATTTCTTTTGATACCAGTTTTGAACTTGTGATTCAATAGCCTCCCTATGTTGGTCCTGGGAGCCTGGTATCTGTTGGTAGTCTGCATGGTTGGCTGGTATGTATGGAGAGTTTGAGTGGCTATGACCAGGTGTGGAGATGCTGTGATCTGTGCTGAACGATGATGATGGCGTACCGCTGTTGAATGAGGGAGACCCGCTGTTGCTAGGGACATTTCCTGGACGGAGTCGATTGCCAAATATTTTGCTGCTGTATCCACTGTCAGGGTTACTACTGGAGTCCTCCTTGCAGTAGGCGTTAGGATAGTTGGAAACGTTCCTTATGTGGTCCTTGTCAGCCTCCTCCCCACCACTGACAGGTGTCCTACAAACAAGGAAATCGCCACGCGGAGAGTTTCCACAATTACTAGACCCAGAGGTCCTGTCTAATAAGTTAGACTCCGACTTACTTTTCGATTTGTCCACATTTTCTATTAGATCATAATCATCATTATGTCCGACCCTGTTCATATTGTATGTACTGTGATACGGTGCAGGACTTGTGTCCCCACGCCGGTACTTTGCTATTTCCTTTCCTGACACATAAGGATTTTCCATAGGTGTTCGGCCACTGTTTATCCTGTTTTTCTCCCCAATAGGTGTCATTCTATAATGGTCATCATTCATACTGACATAATGACTTTCTGGAGTCCGTAGCACACGGCTAGAATACTGACCATAACTGGCTGGAACAGGACCATCCTGCTGACCGACAGGTGTTTGGTGACCAGTTTTACCCTGTCCTCTCCCCACGTAAAATGACCACTGACCTTGACCTTGGTCACTTTGACCTTGGGTTGAGTGACCTTGACTATTTGACACATAGTTTGTATTTTGAGCACTAGATGATCTTCCATCAACGTTATGGGGTGTAGGGTTCATTGACCTTTGGCCCACTGTTGTCCTGTCTGCACTTCCTCCCCTCTTTGCCATTTCATGGGCAGACGTTATTTCATTCTCTTCCAAAAGAAGTTCATCAGAAGATCGGGTCCTTTGCCTCAATGGAGATACTTTTGGTTGCATAGACATATACATATCATCTTTATTTTTCACAAAATAGCCATACATATCCCTCTCCTTGCACATATTTTCCTTTCGAAGAAAGTCAGGTTTTTCTGGTGGTTTTGGAACTTGTCGAAGCGAAGGATTTGTTCGTGAATGACCATAAACACTGTCTGGTACAACCGAAACTGAACCATAAGGATTGATTTCCTTCACCCCTGACCCACACATTCCCTTGTCCTTCGCACGAGAGCCTGGCTGTTGTGGCTCATCACTACCTGAATTAGCACTAGGTCCCACCATATTATCAACCACACTGGACGATCTGGTTTCAGTCTTGGTATCCATTTCAGGATACCCAAATGTTGAGAAGGTGGGTTTGGAAATATTCCCCTTGCCGATGCCGATGCTGGACTGCTGGCTCCCCAGGGGATCCTGTCCAGCACCGGAGGAAGTTGAGATCGGATTATTTCCTGTGCTTGTGTTTGAGGACCCCCTTTCGGGAAAACTCTGTCTCTGTCTAGTTCTGTGAAATCCGTCTGACGAATCAGTTTGATTTGGTCTTGAAGTTGAAGAAGATTCCCTTTGGCTTGACCGCTGATATGACGGATCAACATGATGGTGTTGATTGTACCTCTGACTTGACCGTTGGAAACCGTCAGGGTCAGTGGTCTGACTTCTGACCATAGCCCCCCTTTTTACACCACCTACCATTTCATATGGACTAGAATCATAGGATTTAGGAGTACTGTGTGTGAGAGGACTTGATTCTCGCTTCACAGGAGAATTGCGAAATTGTTCTGAATTATGCCATGTCTGTGAGTGGGGGATTCGTTTAGGAATAGCACCTTGACTGCCAAACATTTTAATATCATTGGAGTCAGCTGGACTTTGAACAAATGGTGTCCGACTTGTGGACGCTGTACTTGGAGAAAGGAGATTGAAAGTAACTCTAGATCCACGCACATTCTCCTCACGAGAACTGTCCCCTTGGGGAGCTGAATGTACTTGAATTTGACCAACTTGCACATGACCTTGACTTGAGTATATCTGACCTTTGCCCAGGTTGTTTTCCCGAGCAACTCTCTCATTATGTCTTGCCTTTCCTTCTTTAACATCATCCTGCCACTCCCGCAGCTGTTGCATGGCTGCTTGCCGCGATTCGTAAAACTGACGTTTCTTATGTTTAACACTGTAATCTGACTGAGACAGAGTCTCATCTGAACGAGATCGAAACAATCGTCCATTTTCATTTTCATGAACGTCTGTGAAAAAGCTTTTGCTGGGAAGAGCAGAATCGTCATGGTGATGATTCAGACAATGTCCGTACGAGGAGAGTTTGGCCTCTAGCCAATCTTCCACTTCCATGCGCGTCTGTTCTGTGTACTTCTGCAGCATGAACTTTCTCTCCTGCTGCAGTTGTTGCGAAATTCTACCATTGCAGTTTTTCTCTTCACGTGTCAGCCTCTCTTTGGTGAGTTTGTCTATGGCAAACACTTGTTGGGCGGTGCGTTTGTCGAGCTGTTCAAGGCGCTGATGTAGCACCTGGTTAGAGGCATCAATGTGTTCGTAGATATTGTCACTGTTCGTGTTCACATGTTGCTCCAGCTTGTGTAAGGCTGGTCCACACTGACATAGGGGCGTGTAACCTATTGGACCCTGTAATGGAAAAGAAAACAGGTCGGGTAATGATTCTCCGATTCACTAACAGTACTTAACAGTACCAATACTAGAATTATCTGAAAGGTCTGTATACTTCATTTTTTTTTTATTTACTCTCTGCAGTACCTTATCATTTTCTTTTAAGATTTTAATGTTTGCTTTAACTTGAATTTTTAGAAACTCATTCACAAATTCCAATCTGAGAATATCAATTTCATACATTATTACTATCAATATTAGAAATGAAATTCTTTCAATTATGAATTCAAGTAATTTCCAATAAAATGATTGTTAGTACAATAAAAATAACAAATCATAAATTCTAAGTCTCATGTAGTGTTCATGTAGTGTCGGCGTCGACGTAAGCTGATCCAGCTTCTTGGCACGCATCTTGATGTAATGTTTATGTACAATATAAATTATTTGTTTAATTATATTTGTACCATATTTCATAGACGACGGCATAAAATGTAACCAGGAAATATTCTGAAATCCTCACATCAACACATTTCAGTACATTTTTTTCTGGAAATATTAAAATACAAGCTTTCAACAGTAATCAGGGAATGAGAAAGTAATGTTTTGTTATAGAGACCGATATATTTACCTGTTTAATGTTGCCGGCTAGATCCCTGTAATACTGACTGCCAGGGCGGGGGATATACTGGCTAAAGAACCCCTGAACCTTGTCTTTTTCGGCCTGTGTCATCTGTTGACCTTGACGGGTCCCAGTCTTCCCATCATCCATTTTGTCTTTATCCTGTAATATCAGAAATTCCTCAAAAGTCAAATACATGCATACCACTAAAGAGAATGTGTACTCTGCCATAGCAAATGTTACCATAACACACCCTGTCATAGCACGCCCTTGCCTAACACACCCTGCCATAGCAAATGTCACCCTAACACACCCTGCCATAGCATATGTTACCCTTACACACCCTGCCATAGCAAATGTCACCCTAACACACCCTGTCATAGCATATGTTACCCTTACACATCCTGCCATAGCAAATGTTACCCTAACACACCCTGCCATAGCATATGTTACCCTTACACACCCTGCCATAGCATATGTTACCCTAACACACCCTGCCATAGCAAATGTTACCCTAACACACCCTGTCATAGCACGCCCTACCCTAACACACCCTGCCATAGCACGCCCAACCCTACTCCCATTACATGAGAGGCCGCTGGTCGGCCTTTTTTCAATCGGATATGATTTTGCCGACTGCGACCTCTCATTTCCGAAGCACTAATTCTTTGATGCAGTTTCCGCCCGAAATCCGGGCGGAACAAAATCGGCTTGAAAAACTCACTTAAGTGGTTAACAGTTCATGACAACGATGTCTACTCACGGTTTATATAATATAGATCTCATATGTATGTCACAGACACAAATATATAGTATATTACGGAATAGAACACTCAAAATACATGTCCATGTCGTTGTAGCACATCTCTGACCTACATTTAAAACATGGCTTCTGGATTAATACAAAATAGCAAGGGGGATTTCAAACGGAACGAAATGATACGGAGTTTGTTTGTATTCCGCTTGTGAAACATAACATGTAATCCATTTTTGTATTAACCGGAAAAATCATGGCAAATGCTGTCTGCTTCGCTTCGAATGAGGAAAAACTCATTATTTATGTCTTTGCCACGAAATTTTTCTCATATAATCATGGATTTATGGAAAGGAATATTTATTGGACCCTTTTGACCATTTAAATGTGAGTAAACACGATATACTCTTTCTTAATCCGAACTTTGAAAATGTGATCGTCAGCATTGGGAAAATCAGCTATGGGCAGTTAGAGGTTACGCGGCGCCTGTCAAAAGTTTTTCGCCGTGTAAAACCTCTAACATTGTTGGAGTAGCCCAACCATAACACACCCTGCCATAGCAAGCCCTACCCTAACACGCCCTACTCTAACACACCCTGCCATAGCACGCCCTACCATAACACACCCTGCCATAGCACGCCCTACCCTAACACACCCTGCCATAGTAAGCCCTACCATAGCATGCCTTACCCTAACACTCCCTGCCATAGCATGCCTCATCATAGCACACCCTGCCATAGCATGCCTCATCATAGCACACCCTGCCATAGCACGTCCTTGCCTAACACACCCTGCCATAGCACGCCCTGCCATAGCAAGCCCTTCTCTAACACACCCTGCCATAGCACGCCCTACCCTAATACACCCTGCCATAGCACGCCCTACTCTATCACACCCTGCCATAACACACCCTGCCATAGCAAGCCCTACCCTAACACGCCCTACTCTAACACACCCTGCCATAGCACGCCCTACCATAACACACCCTGCCATAGCACGCCCTACCCTAACACACCCTGCCATAGTAAGCCCTACCATAGCATGCCTTACCCTAACACTCCCTGCCATAGCATGCCTCATCATAGCACACCCTACCATAGCACGCCCTACCCTAACACACCCTGCCAAAGCACGCCCTACCCTAACACACCCTGCCATAGCACGCCCTTCTCTAACACACCCTGCCATAGCACGCCCTACCCTAATACACCCTGCCATATAGCACGCCCTACTCTAACATACCCTGCCATAGCACACCCTACTCTAACACACCCTGCCATAGCATGCCTCATCATAGCACGCCCTACCATAGCACGCCCTACCCTATAACACCCTGCCATAGCACGCCCTAACACAGCACGCCCTACCCTAACACGCCCTGCCATAGCACGCCTCATCATGTCACAATTTAACATATTGGAAGAATTCTGAAGTTATACATACTGTTATTCATACAAGTGCAAAAATAACAATGGATATCAGAAAATATTAAATCAAAGTTTTACCTGTACCAGGCAGATGTTATTTCTAATTAAACAAGATTTTAGAGCAGGCTCTCACGACAGGCATAATGAAGGACAGAAACAGGTAAATCACACAATAATCTCACTGAGAAAATCAAATATAGTGAATTTTCTGAAAAGTTCCAGAATTATTGTGACATAAATATATACCTTCTTCTTTTTCTTGAAGAAGAAGAACTTTGATTTCTCCTTAGAAGATTTGTCCGTTTTGATTGGTGCGTCCTCGTCTGGCACCACCACTGGCCCGTCCATAACATTGACTGGCATGTCCTTAAAGTTCACCTCCTTTTGACTTTTGGGAGTCTTGGACTAAAAAAAAAAACAGTACAGGTAAACATAAAGTCAAATAATTGTTACAGAACAACTTCATCTCTACATACATGTTATTGGTTTTTATTACATACTTACTAATACAGGGTTTTGCATATGTGATACGACACAATTGCTCTAACCCATATCAGCCTTGGCAAACATACTTCTCTTTCTGATTGATGTAGAGACTAATTTTATGATTTTTTGCTGAGGAATAAGGACTTCAAGATGGTGAAAAGATGAAAAGTATGTAATAAACAGAATAAAACATGCCTTTTTCCGTACCACACCCAGTATCAACCCATGGGTTGATATTGCTGTCTCGAGTTGATACTGGGTATGATATGGAAAAGGCATGTATTATTCTCTATATTAACCAGACATGTCCTGATTATATAGTTACAATGTAGTAGCTAACAGCTGCCAACAGGCATAAAAAGGACCGGAGTTACATTGTCAGAGAAAACTTGTATATCAGTACACTGATCTTATTAGTAGAGAAAAACCTTTGTATTAAGACATTGGTCTTGTTAGAAGAGAAAAACCTTTGTATTAAGACATTGATCTTGTTAGAAGAGAAAAACCTTTGTATTAAGACATTGGTCTTATTAGAAGAGAAAAACCTTTGTATTAAGACATTGGTCTTGTTAGAAGAAAAAAACCTTTGTATTAAGACATTGGTTTTGTTAGAAGAGAAAAACCTTTGTATTAAGACCTTGGTCTTGTTAGAAAAGAAAAACCTTAGTACTAAGACCTTGGTCTTGTTAGAAGAGAAAAATCTTTGTATTTAGACATTGGTCTTGTTAGAAGAGAAAAACCTTTGTATTAAGACATTGGTCTTGTTAGCAGAGAAAAACCTTTGTAATAAGACATTGGTCTAGTTAGAAGAGAAAAACCTTTGTATTAAGACATTGGTCTTGTTAGAAGAGAAAAATCTTTGTATTAAGACATTGGTCTTGTTAGAAGAGAAAACCTTTGTTTTAAGACATTGGTCTTGTTAGAATAGAAACCCTGTCTATAAAGACCTACCCTTGAGAAAGATGTGATGATGAGGATGATCTCTGGGTGTTCCTTCCGCCTAGCAACATCTGTGGCAGTCTCTGTTTGCTGCAGACAAAGAAAATAAATTGATATATCAAACAGATCAAAGAAACTGTAGGAGTGTAATATTACCTGTACCAGTACTTACCTGTACGTCCTGTGCACTAATATTACCTGTCCTGTGCACTAAACTAACCTGTCCTGTGCGCTATATTACCTGTACTAGTATTAACCTGCAGTATTTACCTGTCCTGTGTACTATATTACCTGTCCTGTGCGCTATATTACCTGTACTAGTATTTACCTGTACCAGTACCAGTATTTTACCTGTCCTGTACGCTATATTACCTGTACCTGCTGATTTAATCTATCACAAATAAATATTTTCTAAGAGTAATGTTCAGGCCTAGCACACAGCCATAAACAATGTATATGTTTAATACCCTATCAAACTAAGTCATATCCATCCTGTAATACATTCCTCATGGACATGAAGTGTTTCAATGTCAGAGAAATTCCCCATTACATTTATCTTCCAGATTAAGTTATAAAGTTAAAAGCTACACTTGAATGTTGTATATAATATGTCAATAAATTGAACTGATGACAGCAGTTGTAAAGAGGGCAAAAATGCTGAAATAAATTGTCTCACCTCAGTTTTCGTGTGTAATCGAATATGCAGGTGTTTTTTTTTTTATCAAAAAGTCAATGATACAAAATGATTATTGTATTTCCCTTTATTATGGGACTTTGAAAAATTGATGTAAAAACTTTTCAACTCAAAGACTGAACACACAATGTTTGACATGAATCATCTTTTATATGTCAGAGGGATTTAGGTGTACATATAAGAAATTCACCCATAATGCCATTCCACAGGAAGCTGTCGGCCACTTAGTAACAACTATCAGACACACCGATACAAAATTAGATCTGGGTCGATACCAGGCATCATGTTGAACATTTCTATGTAGCTAATAAAATAGCTGTCAAGGTATTTCTAGGTGCACAGAAAGCTTGTTTTATCTAAATTCAAACACACTTCTAAATCATTCTTAATGCTATATTTAAATTATGTCTTTCAAATTGAATTTAATCATTTAGAAACACTGATTTGAATTAAATTCACACCTTGCTCAAGTCCTTGTTATTGTACGGAATGAATTCATGATTATAATAAAGATGTCATCAACGTCTCAAAAATATATATTAATTTTCATCAATGGTATTTACATATCAGAGTCTTTAACCCATTCACCCCTAAAGTTATATTTGAGCCTTACCCAATCAAAGACTGGGCAAGTCCAGTTAATAAATGTAGGGGTGAATGAGTTAAGGGTTTTATTCAAGGCTAATCATATTAAAATTTATATTATATCAAGTATCTGATAAAAAGATCTCCATTGTATTTCCTGGTTTATGAAAAAGTGGAATTTGATAAATGTGTATCTACTCCTATTTAACTTTTCTTTGTAAAATCTGCTAAATGATTTATATTTGATTAATAAATATTTGTTATTTGCGATACAGAAAAACCCCGTTATTTTTCAGTTATCTGGTACACAAGCTTGCTTTCTCCTAGCACGATACATAAGCTGTCTGGCTACACCCACCAACTAAAAATTACCAAACATTTTTTGTTACACTTACGTAGGTATTAGAATCACGAGAAAATATTTTCTGAATAGTTAATAGAACAAACTCTGGTCTCCAACTGGCAAATCTAAGGAACTTATGTCGAAATATTGCCTTAAAGGTTGTCGTGTTAAGTCTGGCCTCCACGGTTTGTATTCCCGCCCAACTCCAAATACTTATGTCAGATAAATGTTTGAGGTTAATACTCTATATGGAAATCACAGCTGGCACTTAGATTTCCTAATAAACTTTCCTTTTAAACACTTTTAAAATTCTCCATTCGTAATCCTTTAGAAGTCATCAGAAAATAGACAAATAGACAGAGGCATCAACTGTTAACATTATATTCTACTGAACACACAACCAATGACGGCTGTATATCCGCAATGATTTCAGTAATATGCATAAACATCACCATATTGGGTATGTGAAGCACATTCATAGTAGTGTTTATACATAAATTTGTTTATATCACAAAGTGTTTATACATAAAAGCATTTATATCACCAAAATATTTTTCAACTTTTTCATATTTCATGTGTAGAAAACAAAAATTCACAAAAACCTTATAAAAGTACTTTAATGACATGTCAGAAGATTTTCGCGAGTGACACACATTTGTTTTTTCTACTTATCTGATTTGTACATGATTACATTCTGATAAGGAGAAGACATTCTGCCCATAGGCTACCACAAAAACTCCACGTTATATTATCTGTTTTTGTTTGCCTGAAGTCCTCTTAGTTCACTTTCTCTTGTTCCAATCTGATCAGTAGAGATACAGGTTAATGATTTCTAAAGATTGTAGACAATAAATGTCAAAGACTTTGTACAACTATACACTACTCCTAAGGATGATTCCGTCCCCGAGGGGACCACTGTTTATGTTTGTTATAGGTGATTTGTACTGCTCCTAGTCAGGATAATTCCCCGGGGGTCAAGCAACATATGTTTTATATACATGTAGGTGATTAGTAATCACTAGTCCCCGGGGTTGGGGCAGCATGTTTTATATGGGTGATCACACTTTACAAAGAAACTTTGACATCCTCCATATATTTGCTCCTTACACTAAGACCATTAACTTGCATCATTTAAATATTTCTTGTAAATAGTATTTTTTTAAGGCTTATTGAAGTCTGACCTGTGCTATTCTAAAGTCATTACTATATGCCAATTCTGTTTTATAAACACTTCTATAAACAATAGGATGTGAGTTATTTAGTAATACACTAGCTGTACTATAAAATGTACCTTGTTTTTTATATATAGATCTATCCCAGCCTCCACCAGCAGCTTTGCAATCTTCCGTCGCTTCAGAGCAGCTGCAATATGTAAAGCTGTGTCACCATTCTATAAAACAGAGGGAAACATTCTATAAAACAGAGGGAAACATTCTATAAAACAGAGGGAAAGATCAAGATTAATTAATGTAAAGCACTGATGAAAGGCTTAATTTAATCTTAATATAATAATATATGTATGTAATAATCAGTAAATAGGCATTATATCATTTTGGATAAAATAATTGCTTTGTAAAATATGAATAAAAACTCAAGGTTTTGGGGCAGATATAAATATTTTTCTCTTTTAAAGAGAATATTTGGGTTAAAATGACCCCCAAAATTACTTCAGTCTTTGAATTTGTAAGATTTCGTTTCTGATTGATTTCTGATGTGCGTGAATAGAAGCGAGATTTCTATGAAGACAGAAATAGGAGTATATACAGTAAAGAGTCACAGACCTGGGTATTATGTATCTAGACAAAAACACTTGTCCCAATAATGCATCTATTTCTAAATTCCACTACGTATGAATCACACCACTAGTATGTAAATTAGTGATTGGAATACAATGTTTTCTTAAAATTCACGATTTCTTCCTGATTTGAATAAATTCCACATCTGATTTCTTATCTGATAATGATCTCGGAAAACAAATTTAAAATAAATGGAAATCAAACAGAAATACTGTGTAATAAATAGGAATTCTGGTATCATTGTTGAATCTGAAGGTAATACAAAACAAAATACAAAAAAAATATAATAACATCAAAAATGTTCTTGTTCTGGGAGAACACAATCAACTGACATAAGAATATATATTGTGATGATGATATCCCTCACCCAACAATGATGTATAGTTGACAGGGGAAACATTTCAAGGGGAAACATTTCATAAGATCATATCTGTATGCTTGTCCTATATTAATTAAAAACACCCAAAATGATAAATTCATCAGAATTCACAATTTCTTTTATGAAATGAATGTTTCTTTTGGGAAATATTACAGAATACAAAGTGAAATATTCATCACCTGTATTACAATATGTAAATTTAGCTACATGCCATAAAACATCTATTGTAGACATTGACCTTGACATCTATTGTAGACATTCACCTTGACAAAGTCCCTACATAGATCAATTTTCATACTCAACACTGCACTGTCTGATCAGTATCAAGTGTATTATTAATGCTATGAATATGATTTATTTTGTTTATGAAAACCTGCATACAGCCCGTCGCATAACTAGAACCATACAAATACTTCTGCTAGTCAATTTATGAATCATGATAAATTACACAACTCCCTGAAATATGATCATTTTGCCTGACAAAGAGTCATTCAATTTTTTCTATCCATAACTCTTGCTCTAATGCTATTGTCTACTCAGTTTGTTATGCATTGATTAAATAAAACATAGCCACTCACCTGTGAACACTATAAACCCTGACAAACTTCCTTTTCTATACGACAGCCATTGAAAACCTATTCTATTATAGAGAACCCCGGCCAGGTTTCGATTACTCACAAAAACTACTGGCATTTTCACTGAGGAGGAGGAGGATGTAGAACCCACAAATTATACATAATGATCCGATAAATGAGGTAAAGATGTGAACTTATTAGGGTCGACTATACATCATGTGTTGACTATATATCGACCCGAAAAGTCTCATTATACAAACACATCAATTTACACCAATTATATTTCTCCATCTGTTCAATTGATAGTAATGACGTGTGCTTATCACCAAACCGTGCTTTTCTAGTCTAACTATAAATCTACCTGAAGTTATCAATTTATAATTTGTGTTTTTCTCTGAAGTTTGTTTGAAGATTGTCTGGCTGTCTCCGGAGATCCTCTACATCCTAGCTGTTACGTTTTTCTATTGACCTTGAGATCAATTGATCGTATTAAATTTTTTGAAAATATCATTGCAATATTGATTGTATATACCCTTTGGTATACATTATTCAAGTGATGTTTGAAAACGTGACAAGAAAATGCTCTTTAATTACCTGTAATAATTAATCAGTATGTTGGTAGATAGATCACTCTACTAGAGATTCCACATTAAGATTTAATTAGAACTCACCAAATTCAAATTTAAAGAAAATAATAGCTGAGACATAAAATTAAATGCAGAAAATAATATAACTTGTTTTTTTGATGACTAGGTTTTTAAAAACCACTAATGTATGTGATAAGTACACCAGTTAATTAATGTAATTCCCTGATATATTACATTAGTCAACCCATCACTGACTGCTAGTTTTGCCACATATTTTTTCACTATGAACTACTTCAGATATCTACTACAAAACTGATTTGTCAATTAATGTTGTGCAGTCAAAAATTCATAAAATTGTTACCAACATCAGGTAGATTTGATAATGATACATCAGCGACTCTGTCACTCACCTTGTTTTGTAAGTTTAAACAACACCTAGCACTAATGAGGATACGTGTCACACCAGCATGTCCATATCGGGCCGCGGTGTGGATTGAGGAATCGCCATACTGAAAAAGAGACAAAGAGTAAAGGACCACCAGCTTTATCTGTAGGAGATACTAGAGTAAAGGACCACCAGCTTTATCTGTAGAAGATACAATAGTTAAAGACAACCAGCTTTATCTGTACGAGATACCAAAGTTAAGGAACACCAGCTTTATCTGTAGAAGATACAATAGTAAAGGACTACCAGCTTTATCTGTAGAAGATACAATAGTAAAGGACTACCAGCTTTATCTGTACGAGATACCAAAGTTAAGGACCACCAGTTTTATCTGTATAAATATATCATAATTAAGGAGCATCAGTTTTATCTGAATCAATCAAGTTAAGGACCACCAATTTCATCTGTATAAGATAACAATAGATAAGGACCATTAGTTATATCCTGTAAATGTATCAAAGTTAAGGACCACCAGTTTTATCTGTATAAAGATACTGTAAATAAGTACACCAGTTTTATCTGAAAACAAAACTTTGATATGTAGAAAGATCCTCCAGTACTTACATTGTTTTTGAGGTCTGGGTTACAGCCCCCGTACAAGAGGACACGTGTACTTTGGTTATGTCCATTCTGTGCTGCAAGGTGTAGGGAAGTGAAGCCCGCCTAATGGAAAGCAAACCATAAACCATACCTTAATTTCTATCAATGACATTTTATCCAATTAAAATAATTCTAATTGTAAAGATGATGAATTACAATAATTGACTCCAGACACAAATCTATCAACTCTGCAAATACATTCAAATACAATATTCTCCCGTATATCGTAAATATTCTTGCTTAAGGCAACAACATTTCGCGAATGTCTGCAATTGAGCACTCTAAAACTACCTTTAACTAGTATTGTTAACTAAGGTTTGACAAGATAACTCATACCTTGTTAGTAACAACAACATTACAAAGAAAATAACTCATACCTTGTTAGTAACGACAACATTACAAGGGAAATAACTCATACCTTGTTAGTAACAACAACATTACAAAGAAAATAACTCATACCTTGTTAGTCACGACAACATTACAAGGGAAATAACTCATACCTTGTTAGTAACGACAACATTACAGTTGTGCTTGATGAGTAGCTCAATGGCCGAACTGTAACCGTTCCATGCGGCTTCATGTAGAGCTGTGTTTCCATGCTGTAAAACAAAATGAGGGAATTAAAAAAGTCATTCAGTAACTTGTTAGGCATCAGACATAGATATGAATCAAAGCAGATGTTTATTCCAGACCCAAGTTTTGTTCATAATACTTGAGTGAATATTTGAAGTAGATAATTATAATCACCTCGTCCTGTCTGTCTGCTGATCCTCCTTCCTCCAGTAAGTGACGTATGACCTCCATGTGACCTTGGGAGGCAGCCCTGTGAATGGCTGTGTACCCCATCTATAAGTACAGGGTATTTGGCACTTAAAAACATGGTGCAATCATACATTATTTTTGACATTTTCAAAGTAAACATTAGTATCATAGTGATATACAGTTATTCATACATGTATCTTCAAAAACAATATGATAATAAAGAAGTTAGCTTACCATTGCCTGTGATCTAGTGTATGTCATGGATATATGTACAGAAATCTTGTAATTCAAATCTAGCACTTTTTGGTTCAAACTTAACATTCAGTCACAAAAACATGATCTGAGCTAACTTGTCCACTGTCCTGTTACTTCATTTTAAAAATATTTTCCTATCCAAATCTCAGCTGCCAGATAATAAGCTGTGTAGGTAAGGTGGCAGGGACATGTGTCAGGTATAGGAAGTGACATCATGAACCCTGTAGGCAGGTGTTATTCCTGGCCTACCTGGACAACAATTTACCTGTACAGGTAAGTACATTGTAATCAGTTGTCATGGAAACAATGGGCAGGCAAATTGGAAAGGTTAGCAGTTATTAAGAATGTTTGAGAAATGTCAAGTTAATGACCCCATACAAATGAGTGATTAGTACACGGTGTTTTGTCTCACCTCACTAATGGCATTAGTGATGTCATCACTGGATTAACATCAAGCTCATACTGACCACTGGTCAATGGTAACATAAAGTTACACTGGACATGAACGGGCAAATACTAATTTAACATTAATAAGATAATTAAAATAGTATTGATAAATGTGCCAACATTATGACAAGTAGTAATATTTTTAAAATGCTGCAAATTGTAACACAAAACACTAATTCCGAAGAGTTATATTTCATAAGCACAGAATAAAATCTTATTAAACCATTTAAGAGGGAATCATAGATAAAACCCACTAAAACCTGTCAACAACCAACTGAAATATCGAGCAACATTTAAAATGTTTAAAAACATTAACTGAAATACACGTAAAACGATACAGTGTTACAGTCAATCCTATCAACAAGCCTATCTTTGATTACCAGATATTAACCAGAATATATTCTTACAACCTGCATGGATATTAAATATTAACTAGTGTGTATCCTTACAACCTGGATATTAACTAGAGTGTATCCTTACAACCTGGATATTAACTAGTGTGTATCCTTACAGCCTGGATATTAACTAGTGTGTATCCTTACAACCTGGATATTAACTAGTGTGTATCCTTACAACCAGGATATTAACTAGTGTGTATCCTTACAACTTTGATATTAACTAGTGTGTATCCTTACAACCAGGATATTAACTAGTGTGTATCCTTACAACTTGGATATTAACTAGTATGTAGCCTTACAACTTGGATATTAACTAGTGTGTATCCATACAACCTGGATATTAACTAGTATGTATCCTTACATCCTGGATATTAACTAGCATGTATCCTTACAGCCTGGATATTAACTAGTATGTATCCTTACAACCTGGATATTAACTAGTGTTTATCCTTACAATCTGGATATTAACTATTGTGTATCCTTACAACCTGGATATTAACTAGTATGTATCCTTACAACCTGGATATTAACTAGTGTGTATCCTTACAACCTGGATATTAACTAGTGTGTATCCTTACAACCTGGATATTAACTAGTGTGTATCCTTACAACTTGGATATTAACTAGTGTACAGCACATTATACATCAAATAGTCAGTGTATATATTTTATCACTGAGCTTGACATAATTTATGGAGAAACAGCTCTTGAATTGTTATTACATAATACAAATTTCAATAATAATATTTTCTAATTCACAAATATAAATGGTAAAAAAATGTGATCTTTTTACGTAACTTTTAATGGGCAACACCTAGCTGTATGGTTGGAACTTGAACATGTACTTGCTAATTTTAGGTAATTATATATATAAAGTGTCAAACTGTGTTGTGTAATTACCCCAAATCACATCAGGACAACAATAGACAGGTCTAGTTAACCTTCCTCTCACCTGTACACATATTTACATAATAATACCTTATCTCCTGTAAATAAAGATGACTTCTATATAAATTCTGATTTATTGTCAGCATCCAATTTTCAAGTCTTCTCAATAAATTTACATATTATTTTATGTAATATTCGGTAATAATTTTCTCCCCTTTTCCATTATTTTTGAAAAAAATAATCAAACTGAATAATTAGCATATTTTTAGTATGCTGTCTAAAATATAAAAGATATTTGATTTGCTCCATTCACACATAATTATTAATGCATTTGAATTTTCAGTGATCTGAGATTCCCACTTAAATGAGTCTATTTCAGTCATTTTACAAAATGTCCTGTAATTCCTTATAGATGGATGGTATCACTCACTTTCAGTAATACAACTACAATGATCCAGTCTTTCTTCACCATGCATTCTTCCTAACTCTGAATTTTTCTGTATAATGCACTGATACAACCTTTTACAATTTAAATTAAAAAACTGTTTATTTTTCGGAGATAACATTAGCTGGCACCACTGTACATATCCCATGTATAAATCTACCACACTATCGCGTCTATTTTGCGGCCTGTTGGGTTCTCTTTATTCAAAATTTACCTAGGCCTACAATTATAAAATTCTGATAGTATTCATGAGCGAATGTCAGTTTAAATTCTGTCCCAACTTTTAAAAGTGAATTCAATTTAACCATCAGATAACATCATTTCAATTTCATTTTTTTTCACCGTTGTTATTGTTTGCTGATGAAATCTAAATGCGTACAAATACATCCCCTTCAATCTACCGATGGCCTGGCTTTGATGTTAACTGTAGCGTTGTGCCTACCTACACACAGAATCTTACAGAAGGTATTTTTACCTCTTTCTTTACAGATGAAAATTATATTTGAGTGCGTCTCAGAAAACAAGTGACATACTAAACTGTTTTTATACAAAGACTTTACGGATGAGTTTAAACAAAAATGCTCGCCCATCAAACCCCTGACAGTCCTTCTAAAGACGGTACCTGACAGATATTCTACATCTGATATCTGCCTAGAGCTGCCATTCTCATGGTAATTCTGATAGTTTTTGTTGATATCAAATCCCTTCTGAATTGAGATAGTGCTTCTGTACAACCATACTTGTTTGTCTAACAGTGAGGTGGTGAAATATATAGATTGGAAAATGAAAGGAATATCATGCCGAAAAAGTTAATGTGGTCTCATTGAAGTAAATGTGGTCTCATTGAAGTTAATGTGGTCTCATTGGGTTTAATGTGGTCTCATTGAAGTTTATGTGGTCTCATTGGGTTTAATGCCATCTCATTGAGATTAATGTGGTCTCATTGAGGTTAATGTGGTCTCATTGAGGTTAATGTGGTCTCATTGGGTTTAATGTGGTCTCATTGAAGTTTATGTGATCTCATTGAGGTTAATGTGGTCTTATTGAAGTTAATGTGGTCTCATTGAGGTTTATGTGGTCTCATTGGGTTTAATGTGGTCTCAATGAAGGTAATGTGGTCTCATTGAAGTTAATGTGGTCTCATTGAAGTTAATGTGGTCTCATTGAAACTTATGTGGTCTCATTGAAGTTAATGTGGTCTCATTGAAGTTAATGTGGTCTCATTGAGGTTTATGTGGTCTTATTGGGTTTAATGTGGTCTCATTGAAGGTAATGTGGTCTCATTGAACTTAATGTGGTCTCATTGAAGTTAATGTGATCTCATCGAAGTTAATGTGGTCTCATTGAAGTTAATATGGTCTCATTGAAGTTAATGTGGTCTCATTGAAGTTGATGGGTCTCATTGAAGTTGATGGGTCTCATTGAAGTTAATGTGATCTTATTGAAGTTAATGTGGTCTCATTGAGATTAATGTGGTCTCATTGAAGTTATTGTGGTCTCATTGAAGTTAATGTGGTTTCATTGAAGTTTATGTGGCCTCATTGAAGTTAATGTGGTCTCATTGAGGTTTATGTGGTCTCATTGAAGTTAATGTGGTCTCATTGAAGGTAATGTGGTCTCATTGAAGGTAATGTGGTCTCATTGAAGTTAATGTGGTCTCATTGAAGTTAATATGGTCTCATTTAGGTTAATGTGGTCTCATTGAAGTTAATGTGGTCTCATTGAGATTAATGTTGTCTTATTGAGGTTAATGTGGTCTCATTGAGGTTAATGTGGTCTCATTGAAGTTCATGTGGTCTCATTGAGGTTCATTTGGTCTCATTGAGGTTCATGTGGTCTCTTTGAGGTTAATGTGGTCTCATTGAGGTTAATGTGGTCTCATTGAGGTTAATGCGGTCTCATTGAGGTTAATGTGGTCTCATTGAAGTTAACATGCTGTGAAAACTCTAGTCAACTGTTTCCTCTCTGATAACCAAACACAGAGGTACATGTATATTAAATGTTACCTTTTATCCAAACAAAATTGAAACATTAAAGGTCAAGGTCATTCTTTCATTATTCAGTTAATGAAATGTAAGTTGATCATGAGGCAACTGACCTTGACCTTGCTAGTGCTCTCTCCACTTACCGAGTCCTGCTCATCCAAAGGGCAGCCGTGACTCACCAGGAACTTACACACCTCATCAAAACCTTTGACTGCAGCAAAGTGTAGTGGTGTACGACCCTCCTGTAGTGAAAGGAAAGGTCAAGGTTAATTAATTTGACAAGTGTTATAGGGGTGTCCAACCCTCCTGTAGGGAAATGAAATGTCAAGGTTACACAACATGGCAATGAGATCAAATCTACCAATCTACTGATTCTTCTGTTTTGATTACCATAACTTTTATATCAGATATGTTACTTTTGTCAAGTATCACTATATCCTCACTCAATTTGAAGACAACTTTTGAGCCCATTAAGAAACAATAACATCCACCAAAAGTGATGGTCAATATTTTCCTTTTTCCTTAATAATACATCAGACATTTCAAGTAATACAACATTTATAATTCAAAAGTAAGGCATTACAGACACAAGGACAGATCATTCAGAATCAACTAGAACTGTAAGCCAAAGGCTAACTAATACCCCCGCTGCTATATCAACCAGAACTGTAAGTTAAAGGCTTACTAAGGCAAAGCATTGCAAAGCAATCAATAGTCTCCCACAAGTATCAAGTATTTCGCACAAAGGGGCATAACTCCATCAAAAAGGGTCGAAATTCCAAATTAAAATGCCCATACACAACTACATAGGATACTGATCATTCATGCAAAGTTTCAATGAAGTCCACCTGTTAATTAAGGAGGAGTTGCGCGGACAAGTATTTCGCACAAAGGGGCATAACTCCATCACTGCGTACAACAAACAGACAGACAGACAGACAGACAGACAGGGGGATTCCAGTAACCCCCCCCCCCCCTAACTTCGTTGCGGGGGTATAAAGACAGACAATACAGAATCAAGGACAGCCAACACAGAATCAAGGACACACAACACAGAAACAAGGACAGACAACACAGAATCAAGGACACAACACAGAATCAAGGACAGGCAATACAGAATCAAGGACAGACTACACAGAAACAAGGACAGACAACACAGAAACAAGGACAGACAACACAGAATCAAGAACAGACAACACAGAAACAAGGACAGACAATACAGAATCACGGACAGACAACACAGAATCAAGGGCAGACAACACAGAAACAAGGACAGACAATACAGAATAAAGGACAGACAATACATTAACAAGGACAGACAATACAGAATAAAGGACTGACAATACATTAGACAATACAGAAACAAGGACAGACAACACAGATACAAGGACAGACAATACAGAAAAAGGATAGACAAAAAGTAATGTTTAAATTATAAGTTATGAATTTAGACACCAGAAGATATACTGCCACATAATTTTCCCTATTACATTTTATTTTCTTATTCTATACATTTTGTAATTTTTATTCATGCATTTGGCAGATACTTTTTATAATGTAACAATGACCCAGAAAACAATTTCCTTACAATGATGTAATGCAAAATATTCTGAAGCCTGGTTAAGAGTTTGTTATTTTTTCCTCCCAGACGCCTACTGGTATGAAATTACAGAATGCACAAATGTAGCGAGTTATTTGAGAAAAACAGATCATCTGTTCCATTAGAATCGTCTGCAGGTAAATAATTGGACTTTTATTCAGGTATAATATATATAAAGCATATACAATCCTCAGTCAACCATAACATGTTGTCTGTATGGTCCCGCTGTTAAAACGGAAACACACTATTCATTAAACACTACTTACATATATGCAGACCATTAGCGATTTTGAATACAACACTATGAGCTGATAACAAGCCATATTTGAAGCTATATTTGAATACCTTGTAACGCAATTGTCACCTGAACGTTGAATTATTTATAAGATTGAGGAGTAGGTGACCTTCCAGAATCAGACCCTCCTCCCCACTCTCGAGTTGACAGGATGGGAAAATCATGGATCATAATAGTTCAGGATATTAACACCGCTCCGACAATAGGTGCTCCTCTTCATCTGATAAATTACTATCATATACAAAAGTGAGGCAGACTACCTAATATCCGAATATCTGTGTTTTTCTTAATATTTTTGGTGGCTTTCTACTTTTGCAGATGAATATTTACAATTCACTTTTAACGTGGGATGTTTTTTTGCTCCTGAAATGTCACATTACATAAAAGCCATTAAATACTATTTCCAGTTTCTGGTTATATTCAATCCTTAGATCTGAGGCAAAATCCCTTACCTGCATCTTACGTGAGCTAAATCCAGGACTTCATTCTTATAAGAGAGAATGGAATGGAGGTTTGGGCTTATTTCCAAATATGGTCATGTGCAGAAATTTGACCAGAAATGACCCTAAAGTGGCAATTATTATATAAGTGGATGGTCTTATTAGTGAACATGCACTTACCACCAAGAAAATAAGGTATAAACACCAATCATGAATGCTTTGTTCATAAAATGTACCTTATTGTTTCCAAATATGGTCATGTGCAGAAACTCACAAAGGGGGTTTATTGGAACATTATTTCTGAATGTGTCGTACCTATGTCAGGAGTATAATGTGTAGTCATGGTGGGAATATGTCAGTTACAGGTACAGTTACAGTTACAGTTTACAGGTACAGTTTAAACAGATATATGTAAATAACATGTACTGAGCTAACAGAAACGGATCAAACAAGATGTTGTGATATTGTCTACTCAGCACCGACACTCGGGTAGTATAGGATTTCAACATTCATATATACTTTTATCAGCAGCAACAGTTAGGGGATCTAAAGGTTGAGACCATCCAACAGTGGTAGTGTGTAACCTTGGTGTTAGTTTATATACAGATCCCCAACCTCAGAGTTCATTGTTGTTTCAGCCATTTTGGACCGAGATATTAGACAATGTGATTTATTACGTTACAGAACTTGAGAGTAACAAATGAACATATCCCCATAATTTACTCCATTATCTTACATTCAAAAGATGTCCGTCCTTATTATAAACAGATTTGAATTCATCAAGAGACTTTTAAATGATGCTTTGAAATGTGTGAGAGTGATCTATATACGAATGATATTGGGACAAATTATGTTCATATTTTGTGTTTTTATCTTTAATTTATTTCTATTTTATCTTTATTGCTATTTTATTTCCTAAGATAAATCAACTGAAAGAATGTAGAGATTTGCCAGGACCTTACATCCTGGGTAGATGGGGACTACCACAAACCATTCACACCCACCCTACTTAATGTCTTGCCCTCTAATGGCGATATGGTCGGTTATGGTAATTTGCCTTCTTTCAGTCTTACAGCTAAAAGCATTCAACGGTCTCTGACAAAGGACATCACACACCTCAGCAAGCAGACATTATTACCAGAGAATGAAAGAATTTCAATAAATCTGGTAGGTCTTCATAAATCATTATACAAATTTGTAGCCATGAAAATAGAAATGATGATCAACAACACCACTGAATCCGGTACACGATGTAATATTTGATTTACATCCTACGTGCTGACATGTTTCAGCCAAAGGGAGGCCGTCTTCAGAGCACAGTTACATGTTTGCAACTATGGTACAATGACAGTGAAAAGGTTTAGCCATTTTTGATTGGTGCATAATAGAATAAGTGCTAAATAAGTTCAATAGCTATGTTTAAAATATTTAAACATCCTTAACATTTACCAAAAGTCAGGTACAATTAAAACTTTTTTTTTTTTAATTTGAAAATTAATGAACTTACAAGAATGAAATAAACATGATAAACAACAATAACAAGTTGTGGGACTTCTGTCAGAATTTTGTATTACACTGTCGAGTGTACATTGGAGTTGTTACAAACAACAACTATAAGTTGTGGGACTTCTGTCAGAATTTTGTATCACACTGTCGAGTGGACATTGGAGTTGTTACAAACAACAATAACAAGTTGTGGGACTTCTGTCAGAATTTTGTATCACACTGTCGAGTGAACATTGGAGTTGTTACAAACAACAACTATAAGTTGTGGGACTTCTGTCAGAATTTTGTATCACACTGTCGAGTGAACATTGGAGTTGTTACAAACAACAACTATAAGTTGTGGGCCTTCTGTCAGAATTTTGTATTACACTGTCGAGTGTACATTGGAGTTGTTACAAACAACAACTATAAGTTGTGGGACTTCTGTCAGAATTTTGTATTACACTGTCGAGTGTACATTGGAGTTGTTACAAACAACAACTATAAGTTGTGGGCCTTCTGTCAGAATTTTGTATTACACTGTCGAGAGGACATTGGAGTTGTTACACTGTCGAGTGGCCATTGGAGTTGTTACACTGTCGAGAGGACATGGGAGTTGTTACACTGTCGAGAGGACATTGGAGGTGTTACACTGTCGAGTGGACATTGGAGTTGTGACAAACAACAATAACAAGTTGTGGGACTTCTGTCAGAATTTTGTATTACACTGGCGAGTGAACATTGGAGTTGTTACAAACAACAATAACAAGATGTGGGACTTCTGTCAGAATTTTGTATTACACTGTCGAGTGTACATTGGAGTTGTTACAAACAACAACTATAAGTTGTGGGCCTTCTGTCAGAATTTTGTATTACACTGTCGAGTGGACATTGGAGTTTTTACACTGTCGAGAGGACATTGGAGTTGTTACACTGTCGAGTAGACATTGGAGTTGTTACACTGTCGAGAGGACATTGGAGTTGTTACAAACAACAATTATAAAAATTTGTTAATATCTTTATACCTTACTTTTATAATACTTCAAATGTTTTGGTTAAATGTTGATTTTAATCGGAGAGTTCATAAACTTTAAACCCACATGTAAAATTTCTTGGAAGTATCCTTATACAGGAATGGTACTACATCACGGAATGTCCCTAACGGAGCAGTATGAGTCAAAGTACCCTCCTCGTGTGAACTTCTGTTCACCTCTGACCCAGTCCACCACACGATGCAATCTTGACCATTCAGATACACACATATTGATCAAAGATAATTAAAGATATAATAGAGTGTCATAATTCATAATTTATGTATGGAGACATGATTAAGAATACAGGTAAAGGAACACAAGTACACACCTGGGAACCCAATGGGTCATTATAAACACTCGTATATACGTTTCATTATTTACAAACACA